TTGATTCAGAGATCTATCGTCTTTTCTCTTTCTGAATCCATGGATTCTCTCGTCGAATCCGGTTGGCAGGTACTTTTCGCCACCCCTTTTGTTCCTTCGTCTCGTTCCTCTATTTGTGATTCCTACGTTTTTTTCTTTCTTTGTTCTCTGCGATTTCATGGTGTTTTACTTTTATCTATATCCTTCTTTAGCGACTTTAGTTTACGGTACTATGATACATGTGTGAGGAGTAAGTATATAAGCATTGATTTGTGTTTCTTGTGGTCCACCGCATTGGATTGTTGTGGTCCCGTGTTTCTAGATTGGTTTCGTGTCGACTGCCCTTGTGGTTTCAGATCTGAATTCGACTGTGATAGTTCCACATGGACAGAGATTTTGAATGTGATCTTAGTTTTCTCTACTTGTTTTTGGAACTTGAGCGGATTTAGGTATTGATGAATGATGATGATAGTACCTTAACGCATAATAAACACTCTAGTCGATTAGTTTATTTGGTTATCTATGGACCAAACCAACGGATCCTCTTTAGCAATTGTAAACCAAGTCGCCAATCACTGCTTTGGATTTCTCTTTAAGCTTTGGCAAATTACATAAGCCAGAACGGTGCTCATATAGACTCTGATTCTCTTATGTGTACGTTTCTAGCTTCAGAGGATTTGTCACTGTGATACATGCTGATATGCACTAGTGAGTGACCGTGGATGGATGTTGTCAATATATCATTACAATTGCTAACTACTGCCTCCAGATTGATTTTCGTGGAATTGAACACAATTTCTCTATCCGAGTTCTCTTTTTTTTTCTCTTGCTTTTTGCAAATGGTGTTTGTCTCTTAGCTCGAAAGCTTTAGCTGTCACTGACCTTTTTTTTTTGGGTTATAATGCAGTATCTTGTTACACATTTCAGCGACTTTCAACTGGCGTGTATTGGGAGTTTCATCCTCCATGAAAGTGTGTTTTTCTTGTCTGGACTCCCTTTCATTTACCTGGAAAGGACGGGTTTGCTGAGCAGTTACAAAATTCAGGTTTGTTTCTACTTCTTCTTCTCATATGATTCACGGGTCTTCTGTGTACACTTATAGCTTTCTCTGACCATTCGAAATACGAATTGAGTGAAAAGAGATCACCTAAGGTCGTTTAATTTGTTTAAAACCTTTAGTGGAAACTATATGTTCTCACTTCCTCCAATTATTTGTGATTGTCAATGTGTTAACTGTTATAGCTTCCCTTGTATATTAAAACGATTACCTTTGTCGGGTCTTCTGCAGACAAAAAATAACACCCCTGAAGCCCAAGGAAAATGCATTGCTCGATTATTGCTTTACCATTTCTGCGTAAACTTACCGCTCATGATGGCCTCTTATCCTGTCTTCAGATTCATGGGAATGCAGAGCAGTTTTCCTCTGCCGTCCTGGTATTATCAGGTTCTTTAGTGCTAAAGCTTTTTTCCTTTGGGTTCTGATGTTTAACTCTTCCAATTGGCAATATATATAAAAATATATAAAATGCCAGTGTTGAGCTGCATGAGAAGAACCTGAGTTACGTTTGATCTGATTTATGAATCATCTTTTGTGAATGCTCCTGCAGGAAAGTGGTGTCTGCCCAGATCTTATTCTACTTCATCATTGAGGATTTTGTATTCTACTGGGGTCACAGGATTTTGCATACAAAATGGCTCTACAAGAACGTGCACAGTGTGCATCATGAGTAAG